CAATTGAATTTTTCAGTATGCTTCGGTGTCTTTACCAGGTATATAGACATAAAAGTCTTAAAGGCAATAGTCAGGCACACATGGACTAAAGAGGAATATCGAGTAGACATAGAGCGGGGATGAAGCAGTGCCTGTTGTGTGACGATGAGTGTGAAAGTTTGAGAGGTAGTGTCCAGTATAGTAATAGTTGTTGATTTGCAAGGTTGGGGGATTAGAAGGGGAGCTTAGGTTGGGGTAGTTGGAGCATTTCTAGCCATTTGGTAGTTTCAGGAAAGCGTAAGTTGCTTGAACACATTGACGGTTAATTTGGTAGCTAAGAGCAGTTTGTAGGTGTCTCAGCCTCGTATTAGTCTGGTAACTACAGGGTGGAAGTGGTTAGTTTAAGTGTCTTGAAGGTAAGAGTTAGGCATTCACTGATATCGTATATAAATGTTCCGCCCATTGCTCTGGGTGCATGCATGGTGTATGACCCGGTGCTGCATGACTGCCACTTGAGATGTTTCTCCGCTCTCTTCCTCAGCCTTGTGTTCAAGATGGTGTTCTTGATCGTCTGTACTTCGGCCACTGAATGCAGAATGTGATGATCAATCCTCACCAACATGTGAATATTGTTATGACCACTGGCATCCTTGCTATGCTAATACAGAGAGTCTCAGCTCCAGCCCGGAACGCGCATGCGCGAGTTTCCCTCCCCTCCCCGCCCCCTGGCCCAATCGTCGACTGTCGCGACGGTCCAGCTCAGGGACGTTGGCGGATAGAGACGAAGCCTGTGTGTTGCGGTAGTCTAGTGGTGGACTGAGCCTAGTGCTATATGGCTGGTCGTCTGGAAGGCGAGCTGATGACGTGGTCTCCTCGTCCATTGAGCAAGAGGAAAAGTGAGTCTGTTGATAGTCTCGGTATAAACCGAGGTATAAACACCAGCCCTTTCTGACTAGTCCGTTGAGTGGTTCAGCAGAGATCTTACCTGCGGAACCTGTTTCTCAGTTTGGTAGTCGCATTTGGTTAATTCCGCTGGTGAATAGGAGTTTCCTACACATTAGTGAACCTATAAGTGAGTTGTTGGTAGGAGATCTCGAGATCTCCACGCTCGGGTATGTTCGCACCTGAGCGAGCGACTTGACGCTGTGTGACGTTGGCCCTAGTTTTGGGTGAGGTCAGATATTCATAGTCTAGTATTTCCTTCTCCAATAATGGTCCTTGGAATGGAATGTGAGTATAATTATAGCTGTATGACAATAGTCCACTCTCTTTCCCAGACCTCACCCTCTGGGAGGGAAGAGGTTCTAGTATCTAACAGGATTTCTTGATTGTGCTCAATCGGCAATTAATAAAAGGTAGAATAGTGCATTAATTGTCGGACACCATCACCCAGACACAATCCAGTGCCAAGAAAATAGACTAAAGATCCCAGACCGCCGCCTTTTCCGCGTGTGGGCGGGGCGGGCTTGGTAAGAGACTAGTCTTTTGAGTAGCAGTTGTGTGAGTGTGTCAGTGTGTCTATATATACCCTCTGAAAATGGCTGTCCAACTTGCCTTCCCTCTGTCTGATGCTCTGCAGTAACATTTTGAATTAAGAAAACAGCGCATACCCTTGTCACAAGGAACGGACGTTTGTTGCGTTTATGCGCACTTTACGCATGCACTGTAAGCCCTGCTAATTAATGGGCCGGGCCCTTGCAATCTAACATCCATTGACAGAGCCAGTTCCTTTCTCTAACGATGGCTAGCTGCAACAGTGGGTAGCGTTCAGATCAACTCCATCCCTCAAGTAACTTCATTCCTCAGTTGTACGCTGAATGTGGTGCACTGTACTGATTATGATTGGCTTTTTAGCTTGCTCTCACGGCATATCTCGTGAAGGCAGTCGTTTCAGCTTCACCTTTATTTTTTTCATGCACTGTAACTCTAAAGATGTTGGTATCACTTATAGACTGCCTGCCTCGTGCCAGAATAAGCATTGACGACAGACAAACAAAGTACTGTAACTGAGAGAGAGAAAGCATTCTTTATCCATCACTCCCACTGTGTGTGACGATTATTATGAGCATGTCTGTACCCTCTGAGAACAGCCATCTAACCACATTCACAGCACTCTCTGCCTGGTCCACGCGCAATACATACATACATACATTACACTCCCCATCACTAAACATGAAAGCTCTGCAGCATGAAAAGAAATCAAAGGCATTGATAATAGTTAGGGGCATGTCTCTCTAGCTAAGGATATCAGCTCTCTTGGGAAGTTTGACGAGAGAGTCGGGTTCAGGAGTTTCTAAATCTTCACTAGCTTCGTCAAACATCGGAGTTCTGTTCCAGAGCGGCAGGTTCTGGTGCCGTCTCAGACTCGGGCTCAACCCTTCAGGTGTGGCAGTGTCAGATCCAGGAGATTCTGGTTCAGGGTCCGGCCCTGGTGCAGGATGAGACACAGGTGAGATTCCTCTGGACTTTATGTGGTCCATGTGTCTTCCACAGAGTTGCAATTCCAGCAAATATGAAAGTGGTCCTAGACGTGCAACGTCAATTGCTGGAATCCAATTTGGGCCAGTTAGAAAATTCTTAGCCATGACTAGGTCTCCAACTGCGAACTGTCGTACGGAGGAACGGCGGTCGTGATGCTCCTTCTGTTGAGACTGGCGATCGGCAACAACAGAGTCATGTGCCTTCTTGATGGTAGATATACTTTTGATACTGGCGAGGTTTTCACTCTACTCGTTGAGAGTTTTGTGTATCCATGTTACTCTAGTTCACTCTCACTAGCGGTGCCTGTCTCTTCAGTCACTGGATGTGGTGATTGTCGTCTCTCCTTCTTTGAAGGTCGCTTGTGGCTCTCCTTGTCAGGCTGTAGCCTCTCGAAAACCCCGACACTTTGTCAGTGCCTCTCCATAGGACTCCCACTGCACCCTTTTACTGCTGTTCATACCCTTTGCAGCATTCTTCTGTTTTTTAAGTGGGGAGGTTAAGTTGTGGCACATTGGACTGAGTGCAAGTCCACATGGACTTCCTCTGTTTCAAAGGTCCCTATATCTTGAAGTGCTGGCCCATCATGGAGATGCTTAGGCACCAGATGAGGTGGATAGCTGAGCACACTCAGTTCGGTACAAGCAAGTAGAATAAAATCAGGCATGTTGCTGGGCTTGAAAGAACACTCCTGAGTTAAGCCTTGTTTGTACTTTGTTGAACAGTTGCCTTGTCAAGTGGGTACAAACCAACTCCAGCATGTTGCTAGGCTTGAAGGAGCGATTCCACTGTCATGCTTCAAAACATGAATTTATGTACAGTACATATGTATTTACCTAACACGTAAATTGTGGTCACAGGCGTACTCTTCAACCCATACAATGTCCTGGAGACAGTGAAGGGAGTGGACGACTGGTGGAGTGAGGGGGACTACCTTTGTCGAGGGGGAGGACTGGGCTACTGGTTGGCAGTGTCAGAGCAAAGGAGGCAAGAGATCGAGAAGCAGTATGACGATCCTGATGAGCAGAAGATGAAGCTGATCGAGTGCTGGATGACACACATCTTTGCCTCATGGCAGTGGCTGAGTCGTGCAGTGGGGCGTGTGGGGCAGACCCAGCTAGCCCCTCTCATCTCCTCCTATGATCAACCCACCACTGGTATGGAGTCATTTAAAAACGCTACATTTTAGTCTTATCGTGGTGGACGGGCTTAGTACCAAAATCTAGTCTTTCCACGAACACAATGCTCTCTGTCGCAGTAGGAGTGATGTTCGATAGAGAGCAGAGAGAGCCTTCTCTCGCTGGCCAGACTCTCCCCAAGAGACTAGACCAAGCCAATAGCTAGCCACATTGTTAGACAGGCTGGAGTAGAATTGTTATCTCAAGTCAGTGATTAGTGTTTAAAAAGGAGGTGTACTCCTCAATCAAATATCAGAGACAAAGCTGGAATTTTGCGCATACACTAATTTTTAGGTAGGCTCAATAGAGTCTGACCTTTTATACTACATAACAGGTGTGGGAAGTACTTCGATATGAATTTGCAGCATTCCTATTTCACATAACCACCATTACACTCCACATAACGTCTGGACCCCACATCCACGGATGTTGATACAGGTGCTTTGAGAGGTAACCTTGCATCTTCATGTATATTCATGCTTGCAGGCACCCACCACGGATAGTTATAAGGCGTGTATTCTTACACTGATGACGATCAGACAATTGTAATTTAATTAAGAGTTCATCAAGATTTTTTTGCAGGAGGTCGAAGGGACTATCATGAGGAAAGTAACTAGCTGACTGCAAACAGTGGTTTTGAGTTCCATTATGCTGACCCATTTGTGTCCTATGTGCAATTTATACTCAGGTCAAACTCTATGATGCAAGGGGATTACTCGGCACCTACCGTTCCGAAAGTCTTGCGCCATATTTCAGCTTTAGGATGCAGTATCCCTCTGCAAACCCAGGTTCCGAAAGCCGACTTTGTCAACCGAACACCATCAATGCCCTCGTGCCGCATAGACAAATCAAACAAACTCACATATC